CCAATCCAAGTCAGCTTTTAGAGAACTGACAGTCAGCTAAATATTGCTTCTTCGTTTCACATGTTGGAAAGCCCACTCCGTTGTGTTAATAAAGGCTCTTGTATGTTCTGCTCGGTGGTCATGACTGCCTGACAACCTTGTTCTGAACATACTGTAATTCTGCCATGTTTATGCGCATGGCTGATGAGCCTTCCACAGACTTCAGAATTCTGTGTGAGATGTATAAATGCTTTGGGGAAAAGAACTGTTTTTGAGCATCAGTTCATCTTTAATCCAACAGAGACTAAGACCTGTCATTTTTTTTTCTCCTGGAGACATTTTTCTCCTGGAGGTATGAAAGTCTGGCCCAATGAAACATCTGGTGAGCATTCTGTTTTATGGACTAGCCCTGGGGAAGTCCAGGGGCTAATAGCAAAATTTGTTTATTGTAATATGACTGCAGTTTTGCTGTGCAATCTTCAGCGTACATTTTTGTTGTAATGGATTTCATTTTAATCATGCATCTCCATTTTCCTTTGGGTTCAGGCCTAGAATCTATTTTCTGTGCCAAATGAGGATTGGAATAGGCATCTGAAGATGTGTGAGATGCCCGTTTATTCTTTTATTGCCTTTAAGACTTGTATTACAGTAAAAGCTTTTATTGACAGGTATTTCCTTTCATCAGATTCAAACATGTTACTCGGTGCAGAGCTTTAAGCTGTACTGTTGTGAGTTCAGAAAGAAAGAAAAATGAGGTAGCAATGAGGTCAGAGCCAAATAAAAAAGCTATAGACGAGGTCCACTAAAAGGACTAAATCACAGTTTAATTAAAAGAAAAACCTTTTATAGGCAGATGAATTCATGTAACATCCCAAACAAAACCGTATGATTCACATTATCATAGAAGTGTGAATACACAGATTCTCATTGTCGTATTAAAGGTTAAATGGGTATCAGAAACTGACCAGGCTTCAATTACTATTAATTGTAATCAAGTAACTAAGATTAACAAAGAAGACTTTTAAAGTCAATAGGAATGGATTGGTAAGGTAAGAACACTTCCAGTTTAGCTACTTGAAAGCAATAAGATCTTTGCAGAATCTAGTTTCATAAATCTGTGCAAAAGTATTGCTTGAATGTTCCTTCTAATTAAGGAAGCCTAACATGTTTTCATTCTGATTGATAAGGAATAACTGAAAGGGGGAGGGTAATATTTTTCCTGAGTGGCCCCATCTGTCTCCCTTAGCCTATTTTCTGCAAACTACCTTATATAAATCATTGTTGCTGAGTTTGCCCTGGGGATGTTCTCTTGGTGCAAACTCAGCTGTAGTCTTTATTTCAGGATTTAGCTGCCTCCGGGGAGCTATCTAAATTAAATCTCAGTCTGAGGAATGGGGATGATGGATCTCATTTGCATATGACCATAACACCATATAATTCTTGCATGCCGAATACCTTAACCCCTGCATTAAGAGGAACATAAGCATCAGAGTTCACCCTCTTAATCAAACACCGGTATGTTCTTAAGCAAATAAATGGTGCTCTTGCATCAATTTATTTTGTTGCAACGTTGCCTACTTGTAATTTATTATAAAATATTAAATAAAAGAATTTAATGGGACTGCTAATTAGAAAAATAGAAAGAATAGCAGTTCATTAGATTGGTGTTTCTTAAGCTTTGTGTCTTTAAGTTCCACCAATCGCTCTGTCAAAGAACTTGTATTCCATCACAATGGATACAAAGCCCAGGGGATTTTTTCTGGAGACATTTATACGTTTGTAAGCATAGATGCTGAAATTGAAACTCAAGGACTTTGGACACCTAATGAGAAGGAAGGACTCACTGGAGAAGACTCTGATGCTGGGAAAGGTGGAGGGCAAGAGAAGAAGGGGACGACAGAGAATGAGGTAGCTGGATGGAGTCACTGAAGCAGGAGGCGTGAGCTTCAATGGACTCCAGAAGATGGTAGAGGACAGGAAGGCCTGGAGGAACGTTGTCCATGGGGTCGTGATGGGTCGGACACGACTTCGCAACTAACAACAACAAAGCATTCTGTTTATCATTTATACTAAATTTTAGGGACTTAAACATTTCATGACTCACCACCTAACTGCTTCAGAATCTTATCTGTGATAAGCACATCGCCAACTGAGAAGCAATGGTGAATTTCAACTTGACAGTCTCATTTAACTTTCAGAGCTGTAGTAGTTTTGTCTAGTGGTTAAGTCAGGGGTGTCAAACTGCCGGCCCACGGGCCGGATGCACCATGCCGAAACTGCGCTCACCCCAGCTCTGGCAATTGGGGAAAAAGTCACAATACGTCATGACACGTCATGTGACGTAGTGAGTTTGACACCCCTGGGTTTAAGTCATCAAGTTAGAATCTGAGAGACCATGAGTTCTAGTCCTGCCTTAGGCACGAAAGCCAACTGGGTGACCTTGGGCCAGTCACTTTCTCTCAGCCCAACTCACCTCAAGGGTCGGTGGTGTGGGAAAAACAGGAGGAAGATGTGTTGACAACTGCCTTGCGTTCTTTGCACAAATAATGAAAGAGAGGACAAATAAAACCAACAATCATAATAATGCAAAAGGACACAACGGGATAGGGAAACTTGGCGTGCCAGAATGAAAGACTTGGACGAAAGGCATTTTAACGCCTGAACTGAATATTTAGTTGGGGAGAAGGGGCTGGAGATAGGACTATTTTTTTTTTTTTTTTTGGGAAGACAAAATTGCTGGTTTTTTTGTTTTGGGGTGTTTTGTTTGTTTGTTTGTTTGTTTTGGCAATGCACTTTCAAATCCAGTAAGCCCTGATTTCTGCCTTCCCAATTCCAGCTCAAAGTCCGCAAAGCGAGTCTCTGGTTTCCACTGAGGTTTGTACTGCAAAGCCAAAGCAACTCTGGGACTTGGGAAGAAAGGCTGGTTCGCCTGCCTTGACCCAAAAGAGGAGGAGAAGGAGAAGGAGGAGAGGCTGCTCGCCAACAGGTGCCAGCGCCCTGCATCCCTCGGGAGAGGAACCGCTGCTTCCCGGGGGAGCTAACCCAGCTAGGGCCGGCCGTCCTCCTTCGCTGCGGGGCATGCAGTAGCGCCAACGCCCCCTCCCCTCCCCTGCCCACCCCATCCTCGGAGAAGCGTTACCATGGCAGCCGCCTCGAACTACGCGCCCCATAGTGCCCGGCAGCCGCGACTGAGCCTGCGCGGCGGCCGGCTTTGGTTCGGCCAGCGCGCCCTGCCTCTTTTGACAGCGCTCCGGGCTGCTTCGGCAGGAGCGCGCGGAGAAAGGACCGGGCGAGGTGCGGACTGCCAGTCGGGCCGGAGGGACCCCGGCCAGGGAGAGGCGGCGGTGCTGGGTAAGCCCTGCCATCGCCCCCTTCGCTTCCCCGGGTCGCTTGGCTCCTCGCCTGCCGCCGCTCTCCAGCAAGGATGCTGCTGCGGGGGAGAAGGCGCGGGCATCCCGCTGGATCCCTCCAGCCAGCCAGCCAGCCTGGAGAGATCTGGCGAGGCGGCGGCTGGTGCCCAATTGCCTTGAGGGGTGGATGCTCCGCTGCCCGGGCCGTTCGCTGCTGCCCGGAGAGGGGCGGATGAGCGATGGGTGGGTGGGTGGCTGGCTGGCTGGGGAAGGCGGGGGGGGGGGGACACGCATCGGAGGATCCGCCCCGGGTCTTGCCAGCCTCGCCAAAGGCTGTGAAAAACGAGCGCCTTGATCGACAGGGTCTCCTAGTTACGCATTCCTGAAAGGCGCATGGATGGGGAGGGGGGAACGGATGGGAAGAGAAGGCTGTCCCGCCAGGGCACGCTTCTTCCGAACTGCCCCCGCCTATGCGGCTTCCTGGGTGGGCTATTTTTTTTGGGGGGGGGGTGTGGTGGGTCGTGGGGGGGTCGCCTTTAGTTTGAGCTGCAGGGACCTGGGTTTGGGCAACGGCTCCGGTCCACCCCGGGAAATGAGTGTGTGGGATGCAGAAGAGCAACCCTTCCCATCATCCCCTCCCAAGGGGGCCAAGGTGGGGAGGGGAAGTCGGCTTTTCTGACTCCAGTTGACCATTGGGGGGGGGGAATGGATCTCTTCTCCTGCAGCAGACGCTCACGCGGCAGGAAACATCCCCCTTTGTGCAGTGTATTGATTTTGATCTTAAATTTGGTTTTGTTTTTTTTTCCAAAGGTTCTGGCTTCCTAGAAAGCAGGTCTAAGATGGCAGCCAAGGTTTTGTTTTGTGTTTTTTTCCCCCTCTTTTGGGGTTGGTTTCAGGAGATGGACAGTGCCCCAAGCTAGCTTGTGCCCATATCTCTGAACTAGGAGATTTCAACCTTTTTTAGAATCAGGAACTCTAGTGAGTGAAGTGGCATCGTGTGCCAATCGGTATAGAATCTAGTCACTAGATGAGATCATGGAGCTAGCTCAGAGTGAATGTAATATTCCGTACCCCCATTCAGACAATGAGAATGCATCCAGGCTTGTGATTTAACACAGATGCCTTCCTTGGAATCTCCTCTCTTTAAATTCAGCGTTCACACCACTTGTCTGACCTACAACAGGATTTGTTTGCTTTTGATTCAGCCATGGGTGTGTTGGGTAAAATGACTGACTATTCACTGTGGTTTATTAAGTCACTTTGAAACAATCTGTGGCTTGTTTCCAGTTTGTGTATAGAGGAATGAAGGGGCTAGTTCAGGGCTCTTCAAACGTGGCCCTTTTAGGACTTGTGGACTTCAACTCCCAGAATTCCTCAGCCAGGCACACCGGCTGAGGAGTTCTGGGAGTTGAAGTCCACAAGTCATAAAAGGGCCAAGTCTGAAGAGCCCTGGGCTAGTTGATATATATAATTCTCTGCCAGTGTTTCTCAACCTTGACAATTTTAAGGCATGAAGACTTCAACTCCCAGAATTCCACAGCCAGCATTGCTGGCTGTGGAATTCTGGGAGTTGAAGTCCACATGCCTTAAAATTGTCAAGGTTGAGAAACACTGCGTCTGGATGTCCTTTAAAAAAAACTATTTTCTTTAAAAAAATAATTTCATCTTTTGTCTTGTATGCTTGTTTATTATTTAACAAATCAGGGAATTCAGTTAAGATGCCTGATTTAAAACAAAAAAGGCTCAAAGAGACTCACTTGTTAGCTATCTTCACTGTCTTGTCCCATCTCCTTTCTAAATCCACAGATGACACCACTTCCCTGCGAGCCAGCTGCAGTTGTATAATCAGTACATTTTAAGAGCACCCATGCCAGATGTGTCTGCCAAAATAAGCATGTTCGAAGAAACTTTAAAAGCTTAAATTAAAAGAGATTAAAAACAAAAACTAAATCCTGGGAATCTGGATAGGGAAACAAGCACTGCCTGCATAGCTGGTTATAACCTTCATATTTTGAATAAGGCCCAATACTTCATTCATTAATCTATCAATCATACTTCAGAGTTTCATGGGATTGATTGGAAGATGAATTTATGTGGCTCTTTTGTGAGCAATGGATATGCTTCCAAATGCATCCTCTTCCTTATCTATTGCTCTGCTGCCTGTCCTTATTTACTAACTGTGCAAATTTAAAGGTAAAATTAGCCTTTCAACAGTGGTTGCAAATCACCATGGAAAGCTCACATGCAAACAATCAGGGCTACCCACAGAATGTGGTTTAAAAAAACATGATGGTGGTCATGAGTGTCCAATCAACATTCTGCCTTTTTTTTAAATATGTATCAAACACAAAAAAATAGACAAAGCTTCAACTGCATCATTGCAGCCATCATCCTGACCTTTCTGACCACACCCTGCAGACAGCCTGCAAATAATCACAAATGTCTATCAGTTAGTTATGATTGAAGAATTAATGCTGGGTTTGCAGCATTTTTTTTACGAGCACACCCATTGTTGATTTTTTGGGGCATGTTTGTGGGATAAAAGCTATATTTAGGTATGTTACTCTAAGCTCGCACTTTTTTTACTCATCAGGCTATAGATAAATTCTGGCACGTTGCTGTCTTCTCTGTAGATGGGTAGTTAATCTTATCATTATGAAAAAAAAAATGGTGCTTCAGGGGAAAGAACTAGAGCCAATGCCTTGGAATTGCAAAAATGAATATTTTAGCTAAATAGTAGAAAAATGTGATCAAAGAGTAAAAATGGTTCGGTGCTGAAATGAAGTGCTTTGGGAAACAGTCTGCCCAAATAGTTGGGAGGAATTTAAGCAGAGTTTTTCTTTCTATATAGGAAAAGCCATTGTGGCAAGATTATTGCATAGCAGTGATTCAGAATAGATGACCTCTAAAATCTCTTCTCGTTCTAAAATCAAAAGATTTCAGTATGTTACAGCTGGGGAGGGGAGGGAGAATCACAACTATTAATGCCCTATATATTCTTCAAGACATGTCTTTTCATTTTTAAAGAGCTATTCTTGGTTCCCATGAAATGTTATCTCTGAAAGAAAGAAAATGTATCCAAAACAGCACGATGGAGAGTTTCTCCTGGAAGAATTCAAAAAAGTGATTATCGGTTTATGACCTTGGCCGAAGTGTAGAGTTTGCTGTTTTCTGAAGTAGGAATTCTTTCTGAAGAGAAACAATTTATGGAAGGAGCATCTAGAAGAGAATGCAGGATTGCCCCAGAAAAGACCCAATTTACACGGGGCAGAATAGTTGCTTTGCATGAACCCGGCACTGAAATATTAAGAGTGCTCCCCAAATTGTTTCTCTTGGTTTTTTTCTTTACAACAGTGGTTCTCAACCTGTGGGTCGGGACCCCATTTGGGGTCCAACGACCATTTCACGGGGGTCGCCAAACAACGCAGTCCGCCATTTTCCCCCCCTTTTCCTTAGCTGTGCTCCTCCCTTTTATTCTATTGGCTTTTGAAAGCCAATAGAATAGACTCTTTTGAATAGAATCTAATTCTATTGGCTTTCAAAAGCCAATAGGAATTGTCCAGGCTGTCTCTGCCCTGCTGAGCCCGCCAAAAGTTCCATTCTGCAAACGGTGCTGCACCAGTTGAGTAGTCCTCGACTTACGACGGTTTGAGTAGTCCTCAACTTACGACCGGTTGGGGGTCACGGCATTAAAAAGGTTGAGAACCACCGCTTTACAACAATCCTGTGGAAGGCAAGTGATCAGGAATAAGTGATTGATCCAAAGTTACCCAGTGAGTGAGGATTTGAATCTATGCATGCAGCCTAATTCTGACCCAGCTTTAACTTGGTCTCCCTATTCTGATTTGAGAAAGAGTTCAGAACACCCAGTCTTTTGAACTGGCCTGCAAACATATGTGGAAGAGGATACTGTACATCAAGACAGAGGTGACTGGTTTGATTATTATCAGTACGCTCTGACTTTTTTATATTCTTTGCTACAAATTAGGAATTGGGTTTTCAAATGATGCTAAATAGTAAGCAGTTCTCTTTACTGCACTTGCTAGCCAGGTCACCTGTGAGTTGCATTTGGGAATCATCTAGAACAGTGGTTCTCAACCTTTTTAATGCCGCGACCCCCAACCGGTCATAAGTCAAGGACTACTCAACCGGTCGTAAGTCGAGGACTACTCAACTGGTGCAGCACTGTTTGCAGAATGGGACTTTTGGCGGGCTCAGCAGGGCAGAGACAGCCTGGACAATTCCTATTGGCTTTTGAAAGCCAATCGAATTAGACTCTATTCAAGAGAGTCTATTCTATTGGCTTTCAAAAGCCAATAGAATAAAAGGGAGTAGCACAGCTAAGGAAAAGGGGGGAAAAATGGCGGACTGCGTTGTTTGGCGACCCCCGTGAAATGGTCGTTCGACCCCAAATGGGGTCCCGACCCACAGCTTGAGAACCACTGGTCTAGAAGGCCCCAAGTTTGGTGCACCTCAACCATAATCTGGTTGGATGGCTTCTGATGTTGGGATGCCAATTCTGGGAAGGTTGTAGAGAAAATCTTGCTTTCTATGACTATTTCCCATATTTCCATAAAGAGAATAACCAAACAATATTTCTCATTGCAACTGGGCTAAAGTAACAAGTAAATAAAGGTTGTTTCTATGGATAGACCAAGCCCATTAAATGTTATCCTTGTACAGTTCTGTTAATTCCTTTTTTTTTTTTTTTTTGGCACAGAAAAGTGGGATATTTTTCTTCTTTCCTCCACTCTTTAATCTTCTCTAGATCAAAGCAAGAGTGAGCTTGATGTGCATAAATAGCCAAGCAATTACATAAAATGATCAGAAAAGCATCTATTGAACATGACAAGAAGGATCAAGTCCAGTTTGATCGTTTTCTTTTAATAGAATAGAGTCTTCATGTTTAAAAAATATTTAGTAAGGAAAAAAAATTTAAGCCCAATAAAATTGTTTTTCAAGACCGTGCTCAAAAAACAGAATTGATGTATCCCATTGGGAACCTTTCAAACTGAGCAGTAAGAGTCGTTTTTCAAGCCAATGTTTAACTCTCTCCAAGGAGGGTTGATATATTAATTGTACTCGGAGTGACACTATATCAGAAGCATTGTGGGAATGCCAAAGTACGTCTTTATTTTGAGTCATCTGTTTCTTGGGAGTGTTGAGATGTTGAAATGTGGAAAACAAAATATTGGTAAGAAAAGGGTCACATGGGTGAGCTCTGACATATTGTTGAGGTTCCAGAAGCAGTCTAAGAATTACGTATAGTAGTACAACGGGATCTCCACATAGTTTAAGAATCATGCGCTCCAAGCAGTGCAATCACATTGCTAGATGAGATCATGAAGCTAAGTCAGGGTGAAGGTAATATTTCATAACTTTGCTCAGAATATAAGAATGTTTTTCCCCCCTAGGTGGAAAACATGTTTGAGAAACAAGGTCAAGTATGCAAACGAAAACTTTGAGGAAACTGATCTCAATTATAAACACGGCTCTCTTTCTCACACAAATTTATAATGCTTCTTGTCTCACTGTTAGGATTTAGAAATTCATCATCAGTAACCTTAATGCGTCAGTCTGTGTGCAGACCTTAATAAATGAATCCAATGGGTAAACAGCGCTGTAAACTTGAATGCACAAACTCAAAATAGTTCCCAGGTCAGCAAATATTTTCTATCTTTTGCTGGAATGGAGAAATTAACCTTGAGAAAAGTGTGGGAAGAAATTCTCCTGGGTAAATCTCATTCATTCCAGTTCCACAGATGCAGGCATTACACAGGAGATGCTCTGTGAATGGCTGTGATTGGGCCATGGGACAACCCAGCACTCAGCTCACGCCAAGTCAAAGGACAAGCAAAAAGGCAGGGCCAGAAAAAAAAAATCAAAGATTAAATAATGTCTCTGAACACAGATTGATCATGGGTGCTCCACTGCTGCAGCTTTTTAAGAAGAGGCTACAAACCGGTCAGTCCTAGAAGAGATCAACCCCGACTGCTCTTTAGAAGGCCAGATCCTGAAGTTGAAACTCAGATACTTTGGCCACCTAATGAGAAGAAAGGACTCACTGGAGAAGAGCCTGATGCTGGGAAAGATGGAGGGCAAGAGAAGAAGGGGACGACAGAGAAGGAGGTGGCTGGATGGAGTCACTGAAGCAGTAGGTGTGAACTTAAATGGACTCCAAAAAATGGTAGAGGACAGGAAGACCTGGAGGAACGTTGTCCATGGGGTCGCGATGGGTCGGACACGACTTCGCAATTAACAACAACAACAAAACAGCCACTTATCTGAAATGGTATAGTTCTCCTGCTTGAGCAGGGGGATGGACTAGAAGACCTCCAAGGTCCCTTCCAGCTCTATTCTATTCTAATGAAAACTTCATGAGAGGCCGCTAATAATTCTTACAGGATTGTTACAAGGATTACAATGAACTAATATATGTGAAGTACTTTTAGTAGTTGAAAGCACCAAGCAGATATTAAGATTCCGTATTGTATCATGAATCATATCATGTAAAGCATCACCAATAAGCCATTTATGCAATGACTGTAAATGATCAGAGAACTGATCGTATCTTTTTCTTCCAGGAATCCGGAAGACAGTCTTGTGAATGATTGACAAGTAAACGTCAACGGGACGTGATTGGGAGACATGTCAGTGCCATTCCGGAAAGAGTTGGAGAAATACAAAAATATCAATGAAGATGAAATTCTGAACAAACTCTCTGAGGATGAACTCAAACAGCTGGAGAATGTCCTTGATGACCTAGATCCAGAGGTACGTTCTAAACAATGAAACTACATTTCCGATTTTCCAAATTAAGTCCTGAAATATTTATAACGCCTGAAGATGTAAAGATACAAGATAGATTCATGGTTAGTTT